TAAGAGTTCCAATCTTTGCACATTCCCTGAACATTTGGTATATTCAAGCTTTTTAATGTAAGTCAGTCTAGTGAGAGTGAATGGTTTGTCATCATAGCTTTGACATTTCCTTTAGATATAGCAAGATCTTTTCCTGTGCTTTTTGCCATTAGTATGTCTTTTGTGAAAAGTTTGTTCTTTTCCTCATTTTAAGTTACGTATTTTTTTGTTTTGTCTCATTAAGTTGCAAGAGTGCTTTATATACACTGAGCCCAAGTCCTTTATCAGATATGTGTTTCACAAATATTTTCTAGGGACCAGAAGGTGGCATAATGGTTACGTTGCTAGACTCCCATGTCATTGACCATGGTTCAAGTCCCATAGCTGGTGGTTTAAAATTCAGATCAGATGTGGGATCAGCAGTTTGTGTAATGGTTGTCACTGGACTCCCATGTAGTTGACCATGTTTCGAGTCCCGGACCTGGCACACATGCCAGGTAAGAGTTTAAATCACGGGGTCCAGTACTTGAACCGGTGACTACATGGGAGTCTAGCAACATAGCCATTATGCCAACTGCTGGTCCCTGTGCTCCTGTTTATTTTAATGAAGGTATAGTAAAAAAATATTTCTTAGATACTCCTCCTATAAACATGCAGATATTTATAGGAGAAATCATACAGTTTAAGTACAAATGCATCAAATTATCAATGCTTATAAATGTCTTAGGTCAAAAAATAGGTAAAAAGTTCAAGCTAGACATTTTAGCAGACACTGCTTTCAAAGAGAACAGTTTTCTACATTTATGCCAGGGATTTTGCACTCAGTAGTTCAGAGGCCGCCAGGCAGACTAAAGACTGTGACAAAATGTATGGAGTCTCTCATTTGTACAGACTGGATTCCTCACAGATTTACCAGTTCAAGAATACCAAGTAAAGTATTTCAACCTTCAGCTGCCGATCATGAAAAATATGATGGAGATGCACAGCACCCTCATAAACTGCGTATTATTACCAGAATAAAAAGTACAAGACGGTGTCCATACTGGGAAAAAGATATAATAAAGATGCTTGGGTTAGAAAAAGCACATACCCCTCAAGTCCATAAGAAGATCCATTCAGTGAATGCAAAACTAAAAGTAGTCAAACATTTGATAAGAATTCAGCCTCTGAAGTTGCCCAAAGACTTCCAACAGAGGAGGACCTATCTAACACATGCCTCAGGAGCACAGGGGAGTTAGTAGTATAGTGGCATCTGAAGTTTATGGACCCCAAAGCAGTGAAATCTTCATGCCAGAGCAGCTTCAGGTTAGAAAATGCAAATCTTTGTTATTAAAAGATGGTGAGAAAGTGTTTCATTGAAATATGTTATAAATACCAAAAAGAAGGAAAGAAAGAAGATAGGTAAATGCTAAGGTACTTTTG